AAGGGAACATGTAAGTTGATCAGGTCAGTAACCTTTTGCTTAAATAACAACCAATTGTCCTCTACGGACCGCGACGAAAAGGAAGATAGAAAGGCGTCAAAAAAGATGGTGAGCTTAGCATTAATACCAGCGTAATCAGCTTTATTAAAATCGCGTATGACTTTAGACATGGGCGATTTAACTAGAACAGGCAGTGTGATCAATATATTCATTATTCTATGGCCGCTAAGACCAGGCATGTAAATAGTAGACTGCACAAGATCGGGCGATGATACAAGGACTAAATCAAGGATATTATCATCACGGGTAGGCTTGTCGATCATTTGACTAAGATTGAACAACATGCAAACGTCAAGAAAGTGCTTGGAATCACGTGACGTATATGTGAGTAACTGCCAGTTGATTTCAGGGAAGTTGAAATCACCGAACAGTAAAAGATTTGCTTTGGGAAATCGTATTGTGATTTCGTTTAGGGCAGTATGTAGTTTATTAACAAAAGAACAGTCAAAACCTGGGGGCCTATAGCACACTGCAAGAAGCGTTTTGCTAAACTGCGATGAAAGACAAACACAACATAGCTCGAGATCGCAGGACAGTTGAACGTAAAATGAAGGCATTTCTTTTTTTATGGCCACAAGGACGCCACCACCACTCTGCCGAGGCCGATCGCAACGATATACAGAAAAGTTCATGTTTGAATAAAAAAGCTCATCGTCGTTAACGTCCGGTTTTAACCAAGTTTCCATAAATATAGCTATGTCGGAGTTGCAGTCGTCGAGAAGACTGCATATTTCATCTTTCTTAGGCAGGAAACTACGAACATTTGTAAAAGTAACAACATGAGACTGCGATTTTTTAGTTTTGATCCGACAGTTGCTTGGTGTCGGGAGGCGGTTTTTTTTATTCCCATTTAGTTATGCTTCAAGCTCCTTTATGCAGTCACTAATCGGATCGTAAATGTAACGCTTGTTATGTATGTGAAGTTTATCAAAGCGGATTTTAAAGGGCACGTTTTGCGGCTCTGCAAACTGGTATAATTTGCCACGCACTCGGCGAACTGATTCAGAAAAGTCTTTATGGACGGCGAAAGTAGTATTTTTTAGTTTGTGACCGGCCGCCAAGATTGATTCTTTATCTTTAAAACGTAGCAACTTGACAATTATAGGGCGGGATTTGTTTTCAGTGAAGCGTCCTAAGCGATGGGACCTTTCAAGGTTGGAAGGATCCAGCTCGATGCCCAATTTATGTAAGCAGAAATTAATAACAACTTCTTCGGACTTCGCCCACGTTTCATTCTCGGAATCCTGTATACCAAAAAAAAGTAGGTTTGATCGACGGAGACGGTTCTCGGCGTCGTCGCACCTCGCTTTTAATTTAGAAAGCTCCGATGGGATAGTATTCAGAGGGATGTTAGGTGATTGTGGCTGAGCTGATGCACTCTTCAATGCCATGATGTCATGCTCAATGTTAGTAATCCTATTGTTAAGAAGTATGGCCCTGTCATCGGCCGCTAGCTAATCACATTGCAAAGATGTAATCGCAGCAAGCATACCTGCTTGGCCTGCTTCAAGACGCGTCAGCGTTTCCAGAATGGTATTGTTTACGGAAGAGTTAGGGCCAGGGTTAGTCTCAATATCTCCCGAGATTAAAAGCAAAAGATGGGAGATCATTGCGTGGTATGCGCAATTGAATAAACATCTCAAAATATTATTACGGTACACTGACAAGTCGTAGGGGCACGACATCACCATAAAACAGCAAAAACCGTTACGAGCGTTAGCAGCGTTGCTAAGATAACTAACCTGTAGCAGACGGGAAGTTTGCATGACAGTTCCAGCGGCAATGTCGTGCCCCAACTGGGAGGCGGATCCGGCGGGCTTTTGTAGACCCTCTTCACGTGGATCACATGACGTCCCCGGTTGCCAGATCCTAAGGTGGTTGGGAGCCAGGGTCAGCTGAAGGAAATGCGGGCAGGGTAGTGGCTGATCGGAAGCCACTCGGACTGGCAGCGGGTGAATCCAGGTGGTTGTGTCTCCACGGTGGTCGTAGAGTGGCGAGCTGGCGGGTAGAGCCACCGCAAGGGCAGCAGCCAGGAAAACCTGTAGCAGACGGGAAGTTTGCATGACAGTTCCAGCGGCAATGTCGTGCCCCAACTGGGAGGCAGATCGGGCGGGCTTTTGTAGACCCTCTTCACGTGGATCACATGATGTCCCCGGTTGCCAGATCCTAAGGTGGTTGGGAGCCAGGGTCAGCTGAAGGAAATGCGAGCAGGGTAGTGGCTGATCGGAAGCGACTCGGACTGGCGGCGGGTGAATCCAGGTGGTTGTGTCTCCACGGTGGTCGTAGAGTGGCGAGCTGGCGGGTAGAGCCACCGCAAGGGCAGCAGCCAGGAAAACCTGTAGCAGACGGGAAGTTTGCATGACAGTTCCAGCGGCAATGCCGTGCCTCATGGCGTCTATCGTGCAAACTCGGAAGGGGTCCGAGAAGTTAATTTACCAATGGTATTCATACCATGTCACACAAAGAATTCGCGACCGCATATTATGGAGGTGTTACGTCACCGGGTGCCTAGGATCAGCAGCAGAAATGGCAACCACTTCAATGGTCAATAAGGTATGGTTTTTATTACTAATATTAGTCTTATCATTGTTGCTATTATTATTATTAATATTATTAAACATATGCTGCAAACAATTAAGCGTGTATGCTGAAGGAGTTTTACTGTTGCATAGCTTCAATCAAAATGAGAGCACGCTTGTTCTGAATTAGTATTTTATTTATTCTGAGTCATAAAAAGTTTGACGAGTCTTGTGTATTGGAGCAGCAAATTTTTACACGCCTTGAATACTTTCCGTTATACGAAAATGGCCAAATGACCTAGATTTATCATATTCACAATATGCCCAACGACGCTTAGATAGAAATTATTAAATATCTTTCTAAATTATACAAGATTTCCTATGTGCCATGCATGGCAAATATGCATTGATATCGTTTTATTTCCTTTCTCTAGGTAGCAGGGGACCACATAAGCCATCTGCCTAAAATGGTAAAATGTATATTAGCTTCTGTGATCCACACAGGAAGATGAAATGTGCCGCCCCTAGGAATACTGCCAGAACAGTAATCGTGGAGAGGTACTAGAACTCTGTCAGGTGAAACACATTGTGGGCTAACCTGTCTGCTCCCCAACATCATGTTGCTAATAATTATTTCAAATAATCAGTCAATTTTATAAAGACTGCATGTCACATGCATAGTCAAATAAGCATTTGAAACAGTTGAATGCTTGTACTGAATCCCAGTTCTCAGATTTTCGGAGGTTTGCACTGCCAACCGTGCCAGCCATCACGAGGGCACTCCAAAGACAACGTTGACGGACGAAAGCACTCTCAACAGCGCAACGCAGATCGAGCGACATCATAATTACACCACTGTCCATGCGACTTGCGACTTGCAGATGGCCAGCAGTTTCTCTTTTTTGATCGGGGACCTGACGACCCAGACTGTTTGATCATGCTGGGCACAAGAGCGAATCTCTTAACCCTGAAAAACAGCCCCCATTGGTTTGCAGATGGAAAATTTAAAATAGCACCGTACATCTACTATCGACTATACACTACTCTATTGTGGCCGAGTGGGCTAGCACGCACCAGCTCTGAGCACGCGGGGCGAAAGCTTGCACTGCAGAACCCAGGGATCCTGGGTTCAATCCTCACCCCTGCCCGTTTCGATCTGGATGAGCATTGTACCGGCGTGCGGTCGCGTATCATTACTGCATGATGCATGTTAAAGACCCAAGCCTAGCGGTTGTACTGGACTGGCTAAATTTCTCATCTATGGCTGAGAGACAAGTCGCCCGTTGAGGCAGACTAAATTCAGGCTGTGTAAACATACACACGCTACATTTTTTTTTTTTTTTTTTAACTGTACACTATTCACGGAACGTCCTGTCCCAGTATGACACACAGCACTTCATTGACACTCTTTTGGGCTGTCACTTTTTTTACTGCATGTAAGCTATATGTGAAACGAGAGTGTACGTCAAATAAACTATTTCTTTAGCAGTTCCACTAAACTCGTCAACTGTGATTTCCATTCTTCCTTTGGGTAAATGTAGCGCCTCATTTGTATGAATATAAAACGTTGCCGGAATAACAATCAATCCATCTTCCAAAGACGGCAAGAAATCGAGCTTCATTGGCTTGCGGTGGGAAGGTTTTATATTACATACTTTTAAAAGAATGTAATAAACATAATGGTGCAGATAATAATATAAAGTCATATAACGGTACATAATAAGATGTAACGGCAATACACATGTTCTGCTGAACACGCTAGCAGTATAAGTATTTAATGTGTTTTACAGCAAAAAAAAAAAAAACAGCATGCATTTACGTGTGTGCCGTTTTCTTGCTGGGCCGTTTTATTGCGTGCTGTTTTAACACATGCTCTTCTGTCGCTCTGCTGTTTTGACACCGTGCTGTTTTGACGCCGTGCTGTTTAGACGCCGTGCTGTTTAGACACGTTGTTTTGACAGGTGCTTTTTTTTTTTTTTTTTTTTTTTTGTTGTTGTTGTGTGTTGTTTTGTTGCGTTCCCAATCAGCACTTCCGTCTTGTTGAGGCAGTCATACACAGCAGCGCACCGAGCACCAGCCCATGGCCCTGTCACTCAGCCCCTGGCCAGATGCTGTGACGAGCCGAAACAGAAGAAGCAGCCCGACAATCCCCTGCCTGTCCCTAGACCCCGATGTTTCTTGGTGCGAGTTCCACAGCCCGGACCGTGCCGTGGTGCGACTGTGGCTGGTGAAGATTGCAGAAAAGGCCGAAATTAAACGTCTCAGTCTTCCTCCCCACCCTCGCTGTCGGCAGCTGTCCTTTGTTCTTTTGTGTGTGTGCCTTTGCATGTCTGCTTAGTGCGTTCATATATTCGCTGGCAAGTGTCAAACACAATTAAAGTGTACTAGAACCAACATCTTACATGATCGAGCAATACTTACTCGGCAAGGCCTGCAACCATGTTCAGGTCAATGCCCCCGTCTCGAAGTTGCCCACTCTCCGTGTATGAAGCTCTTGCCATGTACCGCATGGCCTGGATGCATCCTCCATAAATTAGCACCGTCAGCAACAGTACCACCTGCGCACCGATAGAAAAGTGACCAATGAACCTAGCGGAAAGCTTCTAATGCAGGTAGAACACAATTAAAAAAGCTGCAAAACAGAGTTAAAGAGTCTCTCGAATAAGAAAAACAGTCCCACGAATCGCAGCCAACCCGCCAAAGGCAAAGTCGGTGAGCTGGTTAAGGCAGGAACCTTATGCTAGGTGAGCCCGTAGGAGGAAAAGTAGTAATCCAAAGAACTTATCTTTTTTTTTTTTTTCTTGTTTACAGCCTGCAGGTATGACTGGCTCACAACTCTTTTACAAGAGAGAGTGGCAAGGGGGAAATACCCTCTCTCCTCACACCCCGGCAAGTCGTCTGCTCTGCAGACCAGGCAGTATTGAACATCCTTCTGGCGTGCAAATACGGTTTAAAGGGACACTGACACCCCCCCAAAATTTTTGGCGATTGCCTGTGATTCGAGTTCTTGTAATCTGCCAATTCCGCTCAAAACATCGCACTGTGCCCTGGCATTAGCACCCGTCACAGATTTGCGGCTAAATTGAGCATATGCTTGTCTCATGTACTGTTCCCGCACTGCTCGCTATTCTAGCAGATGGACATGTTGCTGCGGTGGACGTTCATCCAAAGTTGGTTGGTTTCAAAGCAAACGACTCCTGGCTAGCAGATGACAGCCGGTTACTCTGCGTCTCGTGCCTCGCATTTGGGGTGGAGACACAAATGCTCCCACGACGTCGGGTCACGTGCCTCGCTCCAACGCTCTTAATGGGTCGCGGGACCCTAGCTTCCATAGTTTGCAAGTTATCATGAAACTGAGTATAGTAGATACAGAACGCACTTCAACTCGCCGCCGAAAACGTAACGACATGGGTGCACGACCAGCATGTCTAGTAGAAGAATTATTTATCGTTATTTTAAAAAATAAAAGTAAAGCACCTAACTTTGATGTAACGACACTTCCTTAAGGGGACACACCCCCTAGGGGAGTCAACTTTTGAACCCCTGTCTTAAAATTAATGAAATTTACAGGGTAGGCTGGTGGTCATGCTAGAGGGTGTATAACAAAATTTCAGGTCTGTCGGTTAAATGAGAAGGAAATTAGAGTAGCTTCCATCAGCAACACGCCTACATTGTTTAGTTAATCTATCGTCAGAAAACTATCACAATATTCAAGATTTTTATTCGCTAGATATGTGGCAGAATGCCTAGAGGGTGCGGCTATGGAACGTTTTTTCTAAGAAGTAATTTATTTCTATAAATTTTCTCTTCTGCAAAATTGGTCAACTTTTTGGTCTTCTGTGTCTTCGACAAAATGTCAACATTTTTTTATAAAAGACATTCGTTAAGTGCAAAAACGTTCCATAGCCGCAGTCCTTATTAAATTTCAGTCAGGAAAAGGGAAGAGTGAGCCTTCCCTGTTTTGCCATTATCAAACGATAGATTGACTAAAATGGAATTTATACCAAAAAGTGGAATGGAGAAAAATGTGTTCAAAGTTCTCCAAACCCTACCTTTCCTTTAGCTTTGGTGGACAGAGAATAATTTATAAAAAATTAAATATGCAGTGAAAATTAATTAATCTTTTTAGGAATACTCTGTAGATGTTGGTGGATGTAAATATGTCATTTTTCAAAATCAACTTTTTTTGCAGAAATTTTTTTTTCTGGGCAGTGTCTCCCCTTAACTAACGAAATTTTATGACCTATGGCTGGGAACATGTAAGGAAAACTGTGCAGGATTTTATTATTTCTAAACCCGGAGTACGAAAAATGCTATCTCTGAATGACATCTCACAGAAACTAAGCAAGGCTTTTTTTCAACTCAGAACTGTACCATCAGAATTCTATTTACTGCTGCTGCAACAGGTGCAGTGGTTGAGGGTAGTACAGCCGGTGGACACCATTGCTATTTAAGTAACCTACAAAGATGTGCTAGCTGATCATTTACTGAAACAATACAGTAGAACACAATAGGCTGATAACGGCCTATTTGTCATCAGCTATCGGGATTGGGCGTGTGCCCTCTCCCTCTTTTGCTTCGCCGAATCCATTGAAATGCCCGGATGTGTAGACATTTAGTGATAAGGTCCATAGGGCTAGCCATTTCTTTAGTCTTACAGCGTCACGTCGTCAAATGCTGGAACAGCGAAGAAACTGCAGTATCATAGACTCTGAGGTCGCCATGGAATCAGGCCAAAGTTGAAAATTTGAGATTATTCGCGGGTTCTAATTTTTGCGAATCGAGTGTAGCTTCCGTAGCGTTCACAAATTGCCCGAATTGTTCGCAGGACGTATTTTTCGCGAATCGTAGGCGATTCGCGAAAAATTAGGTCCTCGCAAAAATTTTGTCATTTACAGTATGTGAACTCTCAGATGGAAATAGAATGCAATGAATCAACTAAGTTCATGGAAACCAATGTGATGCATAAATGCATGTGCATGAAAGATATTGGCACACTAATATCTTAGAAGATCCCAATGTAATGCGCTAGGTTTGCAGTGACCTAACATACTGCAAAGCAAAAATTGTGATTGACAGGAAGGTGATAAAATACGAGGCTTCAACTGGGACTAATTTTGATAGCAAAAAGTTATATCACGAGGCTGATTCCTTCAGCTCTATATGAGCTTTTCCACAGTAAATTCAAGCCTCTAAGTGCAGCCCACACTGAAGCCAGTGTTCTGCGATTTTGAATTCGTCACAAGTCATCGCCATTGGTGAGATCTTTTTCCAAACACGGGTCAAGGCAACGGTTGAACCATTACAGGTTCGGATTTCAGACAAGCTACAGACAGACAAGGATTTCTTGGTTTTCCCAGGTTAGTGCGCTCGCTCTTAAATCGAGTGTTACACAAATGTGCACAATGCATACTCGATTGCAAGTCTAAATGGTGCCTGCCTCGACACTCCTGCACACTTGTCAAATTGATGTATTGTTCTGAAAATGTTGCTTGCACCAGCACAAACTCCAGAACTGGGGCAAACCCAATACAATTTCATATTATATAAAGTACACATTCTGTACGGGTCCTGCTATGATCATATCATGCACTGCTTTCACCAGTTCAAAATAATTATATGTTCTCGAGAACCGAAGCTACAAATCAAATGTATGTTTTCATTCACTTCAATTGAAATAAAACAAATGAAAACATTGTACAAATATCTTAGCATCAAGTTAATAATAACTAGGATTCCATGATTTCTGGGTTTATTTTTGGTGTAACTACAGGTGGCAGGAGTTGAAGAAAATACATACCGAATATTTCTGAAAAGTGTTTGCCAACTTACCAGGTAGGATAGTGTCATCAGATCCCTCCAAAATATTAAGTGTGTTGCCACATGCGTCCCCTGAAACATCAAACAAATGTCATGTTAAAAGAGGAGCAGTAATGAAAATAGGAATGCAGAGGAAGGACCATGAACCTGTGCTTATTTGAATAAAAGGCAAGACAGGTATGGCCAACCTACTTCCGTCACATTTGTACCCTTCTCAAAAAGGTTCGGATTTTAGCGCATGAAAATTACATTGTCAAAAATTGCACATTTCTAACAGGCATATATTTAATTACCAGCCTAAAAAGAATTGAAGTATCCACAGCGGATGCCTTCAACATACAATGGATAAATGACATGTTCTGTTGAGATTTTTTATGGCGTGAAAATTTAGCTTATGCAATTAGAGTAGTTCCTCATTAGAATGAAATCATTTGATTTGACTCGTTGCTTTACTTGAAGTTCAATGTGGGCTCAACTGAAATGCATATATTTTGAGACAGAATATTCAAAGTGTACAAGTGGCTGACGACAATTATTACGACGGCCGAGCTGCTGAAGGCATGCAAGCCTACAGGGAGGCACACGGCAGACTTGTGTGTTCTCTTTGTGTCCTCCACAAAAGCAAGCCGCAGACAGCAAAAAAAGAGCGACGAGCCAAAGGGCGATTGCGGAGCACCGCTTTTCTTTTCCCCCCCATTTTCTCCCCATTTTCACAAAGGAATTTGACATTCCAGCAATCCTGGAATCAACACAATCGACCATCTTGCAGAACAAAACAAGCCAGACATACTGGATGGGTTCGAGAAAAGTCTCTCAAGCAACAGAAAGTGCGCATATGATTAAAGATAAAAGATGGCCCTCTTGCACAAGCCGGACTTTCTCGCGCCCATGCTTAAAAAGCCAGCGGATGATTTTCGGAGATGCAACTATTTTTACAGGAATATGCACGAAAGCATTGGCGAAGCACCTGAGGATACTTCGATTCCTTAGCACATGTCAATGGGGATATTTCCATTGTTGCTTTTCCCACGGATGCCGAGATTGTAGATCTTGTAAGCGGCAAAGGTGAAGATGATGAGATGTCGGACAAGGAACCTCGAGAAATAACAACAACTGCAGAGATGCGAAACATCCGACGGCAGCTTCAGAACAAAGTCGAATGCAGTGGCGGTGAGTTATACGATGCATGAAAAAATTTGAGGAGGCATTATTGATGCCCGGAAAAGGTTATAGCAAATTCGACCTCTTTATTTATTTATTTTTTTTTTTCATTTTTTTACATTACAGTAAAGATATTCAAAGTTGCTCATCACCAAGGTTTGTTTGAGTGCATATTTGTTTTAACCCTTTAAGTGCCTTGGATGAGGTGAGCCAATGTTTTATGGCTCTCCCACTTTTATCAAATTTTTTGCAGTCCCATTGGCTACATTATGAGGGTTTACTCTATGCCTCTACAAAATCAGCTACGACTTGAGCATAACCACAAGATAAATCATAAATCGAACGACACCAACAATGCTGTTCATGACGCTACATCTCCATAACTTTTATTTTACAAAGATGAAAAAAATGTTTAAGAAAAATCAGTAAAGTGGTTTTACAAAAGAGCTCCTTCAGCCTGAAAGGAAGTAAAAAAAAAAAAAAACTGGAGTGTCATGATGGCCCTCTGTATAGCTAAACTAATGGAGAAGGAAGAGCAGTCCTCTTAGAGCACTCTTCCTAATCTATACTGTAGTGTACTCTGGATACTCCGATTCATTCATGCAAGACTACAAAGCAAGTACCTCTTGGTTGTTGCAACACAGAAGCATTTGGTTAAGTCACCACACCTGACCCCTCACAAAATGTGGCTGCATCGGGAATCAAAGTGGGTCTGGTAAATGTTGCCAGAATGTTTGCACAGACACAATTTATTGTTAAAAAACCATGAAATAATTTTTTTCACATTCACAAAACACTGTATGTAGACTAGAGAATTAATTTTTTTGTTGCGCAAGAAACTTACCACTGCTGCAACTGAAATGATGCTGTAAAACTTCATTGTGTTCTTGTTTTCCTCAACAATTTGTTTTTGACCCTTGGTTCCCTGCTTTCCTTTTTGTGGCTGGAATAGAATATGTGACAGAGATAATGAACACAAGAAACTAACTGCACTATATGCGCAAATGGCAATAGTGGAGTTTGCATTTCTTTTCAAAACAGGAAAAAGCATCTCTAGATTGCTCAAGAAAACTTCCCACAAAATGTCGCCCATATCCCGAAATAGAGCATAAAAACCATCTCTCAAAATAGTATATTTTCTTCACCGTTCCAGACACATTCCTTCAGATTACGGTATGGCAGCATGCCATTCCCCAGTTTCACTCTCTCCGCCCCTATTGGTTGTTACATGGACAACGCACACTCCTCGCACATGAGCAAAGCAGAGAAGTAATAAAAAGTGATCCGGAGTTAGTACCCTGCACACCGTGGGTAACCTGAGGATATCTGGAATAATATTAATGAACAGTGCATAAAACACCGACAAAAATTAGAAGACAAACTAACTACAGTGCTGGCCGTGTTTCATGCACTGTTTGTTATATTGTGGTGTACCAACCAGCCAAATCACCAACACCAATCATCCGCAATGAAACCGACCGATGCGGGCCTTATTACAGAAAGTAAAATTTTCTGAATAGCTAATTAAATGTGAATATGGTGTGCCATGGGTGTAAGTAGGTAATTTGTTGCTTGAAAATTTTTACAGGGAAGAGCTGTCTGCTGCCCCGAGGCGAGTTTAATGGCTTTGCTGTGGATGAGACATTTAGCTAGTACAGCATGATCACTAGCCTGGGGTCTTTAATGCGCATCATGCAGTAGTGACACACGAAAGGACACCAGTATGATGCTCATTCAGAGCAAAGTGGGCAGGAGAAGGGATTGAACCCCGGATGCCTGGGTTCTGCAGCGCGAGCATGCACTTAACATGCTCAGAGCTGTGGCACGCTAACACACTCGGCCACCCCCCCGTGCCACGGGTGCAGGTTGGGCACAATACCCAGGGCTTGCGAATTAGATTCAAAATGCTTCCCTTGAGGAAGGCCACAGTTGTCCATGCTATGACTACTTGAGTCCACAATGATTAGGTCACTAGCTAATGCTCGCCAAATTGCTGGCTTTTTAGGGTCCCTCTAAGTCCTCTTGAAATTGCCTTCATGGTCCCCATGAAAACAATTTCAAAATATTTTAAAAGGTGTTTTCGGACGAATTGGGGTCCTAGCATGCCACACAGGTTTTTTTAGAACTCTAATTTCTGTGCCTGCAAATAAATTTGCTAAATCAAAACAAATGTTCGAATTTTTTTTTTTTTTCGCCTCAAGAAAGGGAAGTGACGTCAAGGAGCACCATTGGTTTTCAGTAGGATTTAGTGAACGCTCAGAGCAGTTCCCACGGTCGGCTGTAGTGCACGGCAGTCTGTAAAGCAGCGGCCATACTATTTGTTGTCGGACTCATCAACGTAGAACAAATGGAAGACAACGCAGCGCTCACAAACGAGTTTGAGCTCCCGTTCAGCAATGTCACGCCAACGGAACGGGAGATGCTTCTCAGGACGCAAAACTCTGGATTGGCGCTTTACAAAATGCCCCAAACTTGCCACCAACTCCTCGGTCGCCGCCTCAGAGCAGGCTCCGCTCTCTGCCCGACTCGCCAACGCAACGCCAAAGGCACGTCGTTCGTTTGCACTAATTGCCTGACGAAGAGCCCGTTGTCGTCGTGCTTAGACGTCACACAGCGCACTTTAGTTCACGCTTCTCCCACCGTCTCGCAGTGTGTCAGGCACCGATCCCAACGCGATTATTACCACACCTGTTTCATTGAATGGTGCAGCACCCAAAGGTCTGTTCGGGATAGAACTTAGTCAACAGGGTCTGAGACGTGCCTGAAGCACATCTCAATCGTCAAATAAAACTTACAAATTGCCTTTATGGTCCCTTTAAGTATCCTTACAGCATGTCCTAGTTTGGCAATTTTGTCAATTCCAGGTAAAAAAAGGTTTAGACAAGATTCATGTACATTGTGAAAATCAAACAATACTAAACCTCATGCTTTCATAGCTATCTATTGTTTGGCAGTGCCAGTTTCAGAATTTTTTTATAAATTGTAGCCCACTGTTCCACCGGTTCTAAACAGTACTGCTGTTAGCTAAGGTTATAGCATGGATTCCTCAATTTGGAGAAAATTGAGTTTAACCCTAATATTTCCATCCATAGACCGTATGTACTTCGGTAAAATAGGGTTTTACCTAAAATTGCCTAACTTGACAACTAACGTGTGTCAAAAAATTAATTTTACACAAACAAAAAAAAATAATTATTAGAGCAATATTGACAGTGCTAGATTTATTTTAAATTCTGCACACAAAGTCTATGATGACACAAATGGTGATACTCTTTCCACCTCAACGAGATGGTCATACACTTTCTCCACCTCAATGCGATGGCCAAGTCGATCCCCCTCTCCTCCACGCGCCCAAAATTCCAAGAGAGAAAACAAGTGGAAACGAGGCGAATACCAACTAAATCGCGTCTCGCGCCATCAATATCTATCAATATTGTTTTAAAAAATTTTTTTGCACATAAAATTAATTTTTTGACACGCGTGTCCCAACCAGACTGTGTAAAAAAAAAAAAAACTTTTTTGTTTTCAGTGGCCCTTTTAAGGTGTACGCTGCTCCTCTTTCTCTAATTTTTTTTCTGATGCTGCCACTGCATGGAGAGAAAAACTAATGAGTGCTTTGTAAGTTATAAAGATTGAAGATTAATTCTAAGATGTATTTAGTGAAAGTACAAAATTGTGACACTGCTCCTTTAACAGATTCCATGCAGAAACAACAAAAAATGTATCTAGCTCTGATTGTAGTTCAAGGTAAATGGTTTGATTTGATTGTAGGAAATTGAAGTTAGAACTAGCCCTCTGACGCGTACATCAGGCACGTAGCCAGGATTTTTTTTTTTTTTGGGGGGGGGGGGGGGGGGGGGGGGGGGTTGCCTATGACAAAATGCTGCATAAGGAGGAGGGGAGAGAGGAGGCCCCAGCAAAATGGAAGGTTTTGGGGCCCCCCCCCCCCCCCCCTGGCTACGTGTACGTACCTGGCAACAGTCAACATTTGTATTTAGGATGCCGACTAAACACCGCTGATATCCAGTGATGGGAAGCACTTTAAGTAAATTGTACTTAAAGTAAGTTTAGAAAACTTGCGCTTTACTTGAAATACATTCTCCGAGTATGTACTTGTACTTAAAGTATTTTTTCTGTTTCCTTCTGAGGGAAGTACAACTCCCGACTTCTAAGTACATTCCGCAAATTTGGTGTTGTTAAATTTGTACAAAAAATTATGCTTTGTCAACTCTGAAGAAATACTGGGACGGATATTCTACTCTCACCAGAAATGCGAGCAGACGACGCATAGCTCGGTTTGTACTGGAAACGGCTTTCCTGCAGCATTTCGAAATCTCGCTGCTTTTCGCTCGGTCAGAGCTATCGAGGAGGTTAAAAATATTCGGAGAGGACACCCCTCCATGAGGATTCTTTGCAGAAGTTACGGTAGGGTGACCACCCGTCCCGTGACTTGCGGGACTGTCCCGCATTGAGGGCTCCTGTCCCGCGTCCCGCAAGATATTCCCAAATCTTCAAAATTTCCCGCATATCATACTGCAGTAAGATTCACTCTGCAACTCATGATGCTGCCGAACAACGGGGCATGGGGAAGCGCAGAGGTCACTGGTAATGGTGTGAATCACAATGGTACGCCATTTTCTATCCAAGCATTGCGGAAGCGACCAACGTTCTTGGAGGAGATTCGGCGCGCATGCTTTGTTGTGCCTCTCCCCTTGGTGGCAAAATATTGTAAGAGAAAATTGATCGTCAAAGGTTTAAATATAAAATATTATCATTATTTTCAAATCGCTGCGTCAATGTGAAATGATTGCTGTTGATTTGTGTTTTTAGTGAAGACAGCCCGACAAGGCATAAAGCCTGCAACATTACAACAGTCGAAAAAGAATTACATTACGTTAAAAATCTGTGTAGGACGATGTTGATAAAAGTAAGTGTTGACAATAAAGATTTACTGTTTCTCATTTCCATTTCATGCACCGAGTTCTGCTAGAGTCAGTTTTTATGTTTTCAACTTCGACACATTTAAGAACACATTAAGCATAAAAAGGTATGTCACTGGGACTGAAAATTATTTCAGTTTAATTGCTGTAATACAGTTAGCAGATGTATAAACAGCACAGGATATTAAATGTGTTGACAGAGCCTCGGTTCGTGGTGTGCGTGTTAAGAAAATTACCCTACCCCCCTGTCCCCACCCCCTTTGTGTCCAGCATTGCGCTAGCAGGAGGGTGGTCACCCTAAGCTACGGGGCTGACGTCACGCTCTCTCCTGGTATGTTTAATACCCTTAGGTGCAAGCCATACAAGCGGCACCGAATTCAGAAGTCGGAGAGTCACTTGACTTTATCCCAAAATTCGCTGCCATTTAATGCACCCCCGATTGCCCCTAAGGCAATGCATACCAGCAAAAAAAAAAAAAAACTATAGCAAATGTGAATAGCATTGTTATAGCGAACTATAGCAATGAAAGTTTGTTAAAAAGTAGTTGTACTTTACTTTGAAAGTACATTCCACTTATAGTACTTCACTTCAAGTACATTACGCCGGTGTTCTTACTACTTTACTTGAAGTATGTAGTAACTTCTAATTTACTTTGTACTTCAAGTACTTTTTAGATATACTTTACCCAAGACTGCTGATATCATGCTATACCTGTGCATGAAGAAAATGAAAGTGCCAGATCTTAATTTTATCATATTCATTAAACCATAAAGATGTTGATTCCTCTTTTTAGATATACTTTACTCAAGACTGCTGATATCATGCTATACCTATGCATGAGGAAAATGAAACCGCCAGATCTTAATTTTATCATATTCATTAAACCATAAAGATGTTGATTCCTAAGTATTACGGCAAAATATTGCATCTGCATTTTATCAACCGCGTTTGAAAATTGTTTCTTGTTAGACTGTCCAAAACAATGATGCCACACCCTACAGCAGCATGAGCAATAAAAAAGAGGTATGTAAAAAGGTTGAACAGATTTTCAGCTTAATTTAATCTTCAAATAATAAACTGAGTTATTTATTGGCATTCTTATATTAGTTGTACACCACTACATCATGTGATTGCAACATTGTTTCGGTTTCAAATACATCCGGGTCTTGTCATTTCGTGACCATCACAGCCATGCTGCTCGTCCCGCCACGGCTTGAATTCATTGTGGAAAGCGGTTGTGGAACCTGATTGTGGGTTAGAATTAATAAGACATAAAGTGAAGCAATAAAAATTTATAATCCCAGGAGGATTCGAACCCAGAGCTTCACATAATTAGTACCAAGGACGGCAGTGGAGAGGTCAAGCATGTACTCGACCTCCCAACTATCAGCACATCCACTTTGGGTATTTTCAAGAGTGTATTCCTAGGACATAGTTTTCCAAAGACCGGGTTTATGATTGCGAGTTTTCCATTCATTTTCTTTTATCACAATCTTCCTCAGTGGTAACTTGACTTGCTGCTCCTCAACCTTGCAAAGGCAATCAATTTCACTTCTGTTTCCAGCCTTCTTGTCATTTTCCTGTGAGCACATCAGAAATTTTCTGGTCGAAGTGAGAGTCTATTTGCGGCTCGTTATTTGACGACCGTATTGGGACGCGGCTCAACTGATCAGAGTTGCAAGCGATTCCCTCAAACTCTCCTTTGTAGCACGACATACGGTAGCACAAACAACATATGGTGCCGGCGTACGGCTCGAAATCTAAAAGCCAACCACGGTGTAATAGGCGACGCTACAGCTCAATGAAGTCGGCCATCTTACAAATATCTGGGTATAATATTAGACACCAGATGTCAACTATTGACTTGCGTGTGTGACATCTTGTGGCACTGCTGTTGGAGCAATTTCTGACGTTCTGGCTTCGGCCATCATGTCAGGTCTATGTCGCCATCTTGCAGACAACAAAAATTTCCTATACATAGCTTGCACTGACACCACTTGGTCAGACATAATGGGAGAAAGGGTGCGTGAGAGGGTAGCTTCCACTGCATTAACAGGACAGTTCTGGCCACCAGAACATTCACAACTTTCAGCGATGGTGGTACCACAGTTAGGGAATTGTGATCCCTAGCTCCTGGATTATAGGCTTCAGAATTAAGTTGCTTGCCTACACCTTCCCAACGAGGAAAAAGAGGTAAGGTTTTTACGTCGCTCATACTTCAGAAAATTTGAATTAATTAAGCGTCGCAGACCCAACCTCTTATTGCTGTGCTACGACGATCATCCAGTTGAAAGTTGAGAATTAACGAGGCGCTTCTGGCCACCAGAAAGAGGAGCGGGCTGACATTACGTGGAAGGTATGTATTCAGAGCAAGTCATCTGCTTCTTGCGCAGGGGTTGCGGTGACGACAGAACGACGCCGTGTTCTGATTGGCTTTGATTGGAAAGATAGTGGGTAGACCTCAATGCTGGATGCCTTGAAATCTACCCACTATTCTTTTTCAATCAGCCAATAAGAGTTTGGCCTTTTGACAGCATAACCCTTGTGCAAGAAGCAGAAGAGCGTGCGCTCCACATTGGTTACATACTGTGACATATTTTTGTAGAACTGAGAGGAAAGCTCCCCGGAAAACTGATATCATCTTTTTTTACGCTAAAAAATTAATCCGGACGATCAAACGAACGAAATTATATGTAATAAAGGTCAGGAATTTTAAATAGACATATAGCTCAAAATTTCGGAAAAAAACGTGTCGCGACACCTTTAACATTATTTAAAAAAAAAAAAAATGCTTACAGAAACAGATCAATAAAGAACCGACTGACCAATGAATAGACTGAAACATACAAGTTTCGCCGAAAGGAAAATCCAAGGAATACGCTAATAACATATTTGGACGTTTGCTGTGTCTCGAAGAACTATATACACCAGGACGTTATCATTCAGTGTAACGCTAGCATGCACGCGGCAGAGAACATGCGGCTCTGTCGGATACTTTTCGTCAAACATATAAAACGGTGTAACATCAGAATGCAGTGCATATGTAAGGGCAATAGACACGCGACATAGCCCACGACCGTCCAGAATTTCAAACGCTTCACATTACCGCCATGTCTGTAACGTGTTGAAGTCCTTTGCCCACACGATAACAAACGGGACGACGAAAATTTCAAAAATACGTAAACTTGCAGTCAGTTAAGAAAAACACATTGATGGTTAACCGGCAACTCGACTGACTTCGCCACCTGGCAGTTGGCACGGTTGGCACTCGTTCGGACTTTTTGTTCAGAAACCTGCCGCCAGGTGCAGATGGCTGAAGCCGAAGCCAAGCCAAAGTAGCTTCGCATCGCAAATTTATCAAGAAAATTATACTTTCCTACTATTAATAACGTGTTTCGTACAACAGTATGTTGTAATTAGACATTAAATATCTAGGAATATATACGTTATTTGCATTTCAGCCACCGACAGGCACCGGCTTGTCGGCGAGCCGGTTCCGTTTCCGCAAAATGGCGTTATGAAGTTCGATTTCGCGGCACGACATTTCTGTTGTTCCTGTCTTTGTCTCAAAATCGTGGCGTTATTACAAAACTCTACGCCCCTTTTCGGCTCATCTGCTGCTGTGCAGTAGTCGTTGTGACTTCGGGTAGACCGTAACCTGTCGTAAGGATGGAGGAGATCGTGGCCAAAGTGGGGAACGTAGTCTTCGAGGTGGAGATCGCCCTGGAACAGCAGCTTGGTGCGTTACCTCTGCCGTTCCCTGGTATGGACAAGTCGGGCGCGGCCGTGTGCTGCTTTTACGTTCAGGGAAACTGCAGTAAAGCGTCCGCATGCCCCTTCAGGCACGTAAAGGGTGACCGAACAGTCGTGTGCAAGCACTGGCTTCGCGGCCTGTGCAAGAAAGGCGACCAGTGTGAATTTCTGCACGAGTTTGATATGACGAAAATGCCCGAATGTTACTTCTACTCGCGCTTCAACGCGTGCAGCAACAAAGATTGCCCATTCCTCCACATTGATCCAGAGGCAAAGATCAAAGATTGTCCATGGTACGATCGCGGGTTCTGCCGGCACGGTCCCAACTGCCGCCACCGTCACACCCGGCGCGTTATGTGCCTCAACTATCTGTGCGGCTTCTGCCCCGAAGGACCCGAGTGCAAGTTTATGCACCCCAAGTTCGACCTCCCCGTTCAAGATGCAGCTCAGCAGGCCAAGCGGGCGGCCATTGTGTGCCATTACTGCGGAGAAGCCGGCCACAAGGCGATCGCCTGCCACCAGATGCCGGCCGAGCTGAAGGAAGAACATTCACGTATGCACTTCCACCACCACTACGGCGGCAGACGAGACCAGCACGACGAAGGAGCCACCATGAACACCTCGGGCTCGCAGCGAGGTTTTAGACCGCTGGACCAGGTCACCTGCTACAAATGTGGAGAAAAGGGCCACTATGCCAACAAGTGTCCAAAGGGACACTTGGCTTTCCTTAGCAGTGCCCTCCAGAACACGAGCAGCTTATGAGTCAGCACTGTTGCTGCTTCCCCCTTTTTCCAGAACACTCGCCTTGCTGCGTGAGCCTAATTTATGCATGCTTGCTTCCTGCGGAATGCATAGGAGCAGGCGTCATGACGACATGATGACCGCAGTAAACGGGGCGGGCATTGATTTTTATCTTTACATTTTCATTGCCTAGTGTACAGGCTGCCTAGCTGTATGCTGTGCAGTAAACTTGGTGATATGATCACTCTTGTGTGCAGTGAAAATGTTTGTATTGCAGTGGTTTCAAATTCAAAATCAATGGCACGCGTCGGTGTATTTTTTGGGGATAGTATGCCCGTTTGGGAGAGCACTTAACATCATAGTGCTTCATTCTATTTGAACACAGTTGATCCTTCGTTGCTATCTTCTCTAGTCGCAATATTTGAAAGACCAGGTATTGGGCCAATTTTACTTGCATTGCAGAAGTAAAATGTGTCGTTTAAAACTTCATTTTGTTGCTAACTCCAGATTGCCCACCAATCTTAAAAGGTGCACTTGCTGATTTCAAGCTAGCTATATTTTCCGAATGCCTGGCCTTTACCCTTTCCAGCATGTTATTTAGTGACTTTGCATCCAGAATAGTTAGTGTGAAATCGCCAAATGAAGGTGATGCCAAAACAAACTTTCTCATATACCCGTGCTTTTCACTTCCGTGATGTCACTGGCAGGCAGGCTTGCAGGTTGAGCAAAAGGTCTATAAGCCTCTATGCTGTATATTTGTTTCATGCTGCTGTGCGAGTGCTGGAGTGAGATTCCCAGGCATTAATTTGACATCATCAAACTTCTTTTAATCGTTTGGGAGCAAATTCTACTGCCCAGAGAGAACCCCTGCTTGCTACTGTTGTTACTTTTTCATTGTTGCCAGTAGTGATTTTAGCTTTAAAAAAAAAGGTGGACCAAATATAAAATTTAATAAACTAGCAAAATATATATATATATATTTTGGCCTAATAAATGGGGTACTAGTTCAAAGGTTCAAAGTTGGCATGTTCAGACAATCTTGGGGCAAATCAGGCACCATAAAAAAGGCCGGAGTACCCCTTTAAGAAGGATGTTAAAGGCTTTTTCTTTCGTCAATGATGTGTCTTGATATGGTTGACCTCATCTGAGCAAAGTATTTTTAGTTCGCTTTATACATAGGAATGCAGAAACATGTCTGCAGATCCCAATGGTAACAAGTTTCGTGGGATGAATTTATTTCCTAAGAAGCCCTGCGATAAAACAAGTTGGGATGTTGCAACACTTGCACTCATAGTAACGGGTTTATTTTATGGGCCAAGGTTTATTGTCTGCCAGGAATAGTACTCTATAAGTACTTGGGCATTTTTATGCAAACCGAGGGTATAGAATATATGTAATGCAACCTAAAGAAGACTCGTCACTTAAAACTAGTGGAAAAGTGTGTACAAGCCCATAGAAATGTGCCACGAGCAGGGTTTCCCAGGGAGCTTCATGTGTGAAGTGCACATTAAGGCTCCCTAGGGTTTCCATTTGCTCCTGTTGAATGTAATTCTACATATGGCTTGTAGTTTCTGTCTGGTATGGCTTCAAAAATTTCAGAGCATACTTCTAGCAGTTCTTTTTCAGGACAGGTTTAATTAAGGTTTCTATTAACTCGCACGCTAGGAATGGAGGTTTATTTCCTTTTCTGTTTCATCTTTTTCTATCTACATTTATCGTCTTGTCTTTTTCTTGGAACTGCACATACATACATACATACTGTCCTTGACCAATACCTCCTAGAAGACAAGGCCTGTGCATTTCCTCCTACAAACATCATCACTAGTAGATCCCCTCAGCGCCCCCTAGCTAGCCTGGATGAGTACCATCGTCTGCTACATTGTCCGTGACATTGTCTGCTCCATCGCCTGCTTCAGTCGTGCTCAGAACGAGCTCATATAGGCTGCTAAGACGGGCAATGTTAATGGTGTCGCATGCATGCTGCAAATGAACTATGAAAGCTTGCGCACAGCAGTCACGCACACAGCTGTGGTCACCAGTGAAAGCGATGCGGTTGTGATGGGGCCCATACTCTCGTCGAGCATCAGCGCGTTTGCCGCTTCAGGCAGGTCGGGGATTTACTAACGAAACGTCATGCGCAGGCCTTGTCTTCTAGGTGGTATTGCCTTGACCTTCCTGGGGTGATGGGGTATGGTGTTGCAAATAGCAGCCATGTCGGTGCTGCTGTTTGGTCCCATGTAGCAGAGTGTCTTGGGAAATCCTTGTTGTTTGCATGTCTTGATGACCAAAAAAGGCGGTTTTGGAACCCTGCAGGCCTTCTTGTGCTAAAATCAGGTTGCCGGGTTGTATATCTGGAATGACACTTTGGTGTCGTGCATCGTAATTCCTCTTGCTGCAGTGGGAGTCGTTTCTGTTCTTTCAGTGTTATTTTGTCGGTTAAGGCCAGAAGGGTGATCTGCAGGTAGCCATGGGCTCGCATCGCATGCAGCGAAGTGTGGACTACATCTCAATCCAGCTGTGTGAGAACGGTTGTGTGCAACTGCTGCTTCAAGCACGCACTTCCATCCACCTGTGAACTCGGGGAGCATTGACATGAATTGTTCGATGTCGCATATCACCTGTTCAGCCAATGCATTTGCTTCTGGATAATAAGGAGCGGGAAATTGAAGCTGGATTCACCTTTCCGCCCATCTTTCGAACTTCTTGCTGCGAAAGGCCGGTCCATTATCTGAAACAATGACCTTCGTGCTGCGGAAGACGTCTCATTCCATCAGTGAAATGACAGAGTTGGTGCCTTCTCTGCCCGCCTTGGCAGTCACGATGTGCATGCATTCATCAATGGCAATTAGAAATGCTTGCGTTTTCTTTTGTCCTGCCTTTTTGATTTTTGCAAAATCAAGATGGATGGTCTTGAAGGGAGTGTCAGAGTATTCAAGGCATCACCATTTCGTCTCCCCGAGGTCGATCCTTGGTTTTATTTATTTGGCAGACATGGCACGTACGCACATAGTTTGCAATGTCGTCTTTTATGTTTTTCCATGTGAATCTTTGTGTTAATTTCCAATAGGTTCTCCAAAATCTGTCATGTTCTCCTGATCCACAACTGTCATGATAAAACTGTAACATTGTGGGAACCATAGACTCAGGCACATAAAATGTTCAATCTCGTGATGCCATGTCCTGGGTACCTTCCCAAAGCCAGGCGTGGCTGATGCTCCCAGTGAGAGTATCCCTTGAAATGGTGAGCCTGGACAGGGCATCTGCGTCCGCGTCGAGAAGCTTCTCTCCAGATCGGTGGTTAACGTCAAATGAGAGCTGTTGAACTTCACTGATCCATCTGGCCAGTCGTCTCCTCGGTTGAGTTTGGCTCAAGAGGTAAGTTAGAGCTTGATCGTCCGAGAAAAGTTTGAAATGTTGACTTTCAAGGTAGCTTCGGAAATGCCTGAACGCTATGACCACTGCTAGGGCTTCCTTTTCTGTCGTGGTGTAATTTTCTGGCTTTGGAGAAAGTGTATGAGTAATGGCCAACAGCTTTTAACTGGTTATACAGAGAGAAGACTTGCGAAAGAGGAAATTCTAACGTGGAAGTTACAGCCAGAGACCAAACGGTCATCGTTAGTTTGGGGGTGGGGGGGAGGGAATGACAGCTGATGGAAGAGAAAATTGTAAAGGTGAAGAGGGTAGAGTTCCACCAAAGCTGACTTCGCAGAGCGAGTGGAGCCGAGACTTCGGGCGGCTGAAGGAAGGCGGCAGAACCAATGAGGGGGGAAGAAGCCTCTCTCTAGTGTCTAGCGTTGAGCGATACAGTGAAGGTCGGGTGGTGCAGACGGTATCCAAGTTGTCCAAGTATTGTCACCAAGCACACCAGCGCCAAGTACCTCTAGATGCCGAACCAAAGTGCAATGGGTCAGTGAAATCTGCCAAGTTCTCGGTGAAAGGATTGGGGGAACAATAGATTCCGTTCCCTCAACTGGGATGCATGAGCCTATTGTATGCATAAGTGGCCTTCCGCAGAACGCTACGAAGGGGTCATTCTTTGCTTGTTTGTTTGGCTGGTTTAACCACTCAACCTTCGCGTGGTATACCAAACGCAAAGGTAGAAACTAAATCTAGGACATTTGCTGAAATGCCCGGCTCTTGGCATGCCTTGGGTTTAAGAGTTTATGAATCTATCATTCCGATACTTGGGTCAGGCAGGATTATACCCGGCCCTTTAGATCACGACAAATTTGGTAAAGAGAGGGACGTAGAGGCTAGTGCCTCCGCGAGCGAAAGCAAGGAGTCTTACCTCTTGCCTTTGTAGGGGATTCGAAGCCGAAAACAATGGGTATCCATCCAGTGCGACGATGGGGCGCCAGTATCCGTGCGCCCGTAGAGCGGGCGTCGGCGACGAACTGGTGGTTCGGAGGCTCTGTTATATGTATCTGATAAAGGACAGCCCCTGTACTATAATGTGAAGCGTCAGTGCAAGGTTCAAAAGGGTGTCTGAAGTTGGGTAGTACTAAGACCGAGTCGAAAGAGAGTACCTTGACCAGGTACCGATGCATTGGACCATACAAACGGCGAATCTTTCTGAGTTTGTGTGGTTAGGCACTTCGTTTTTGTGGCATAATATTTTAGAAATGCCCGAAAATGTCCAGCAAGCCCGAGAAAAATACGAAGCGAATGTAGAATGTAAGGATTTTTCAGCTTTGAGATTCTTTGCACCGATTCCTCTTAGGTGCTTTTTGTTTTACCGTCAAAATGTCGTCTGACGAACACCACCATTTTTTGAAAGAATTCACTTTTTGATATTGATCTTCAACCTGGCAGTGCTGAGTGCTTCGAGAACTCGAGACAGATGGTTGACGTGTTCTTCTCTTGTTTGAGAATAGATGATAATGTCATCGACATAGACATCACAGAAATGTCCCAAAAAGTCTGAGCCTCACTCATTATCTTTTGAAACCAGGCTCCAGAGTTGTTCCAGCCGAATGGTATAGCCAGTTGTACTCGTAGATGTCAAATGGCGTCACAAAAGCAGTGAAATGCTTGGTGTCTTGGGAAACCACAAGCGTCCTCCTGTTTCATTGATGATGTCATCTATGTGTGGTATCAGAAACGGGAAAAGTTCTTTCTGGGAATTATTTTGGCGGTAATGAGTGTATAGACAAAAGTATTATCTTCCTTGGGTACGATGGTGATCAAGGATGTAAATGTTGACGTCTATGGTCTGATGATCCCGGCATCTAGCATTCCTTGTAACTTATGCTTGAGCCACAATTTCTTTTTGGGCGACATACTGTAAGGTTTTTTTCGCACTA